CAAAACTTGAACCAGCTTTTTTAAAATATGAAGTGCAACAGCATGGTTGGCTCATGTTTCATTGGCTATTTTGGCAAAGAGCCGGGAAACACATGTCACCAAGGTATCTCCCAGGTTTCAACTGAGTTGAAACTCTGATAACAGACAACACACTGTGCAAAAAAACAGAATCCAATCTATATTTGGTGGGTGATGAAGTCTTAAAAGTATATTATATTTCTGAAAACAACTTTATAAACTTTATAATACAATAGTAGTGACACAGCATGATACCCAATGACACAACATAAATAACATGTAAACACTAAAGTACCACAGGTGATTTTTCTCCTTGGAAATTTTAACTAAACATATAAAATAGCTGCTTAATAATTTAGTTGAACAATTACTGAAGTAATTTAACTTTTTACTTGTCAGTAACTGCAAGACTGAAAAAAATATTTTTCTACTTATCTTGTACCTGGAGTCTTTAATTAGCCACGTGAACACAGCTTTTCCCACCATGTAACTGCATCATCAATTTCCATCCACGGTTTTGTTCTGTCATATGATGTGAGAACAAATACTCCAGTGATGATTGTTGGGCTTGTCAGCAGCTGCCAGTATCTCCTCTGTAGCCTGTTGTACTGGAATGCTGTGTTTTTACCTCTAGTTTGTAAAACAAATCTATTGTTTCCACATTTACAGAGAGACATTTTTACAGATGGACATGATAATGATAATGTTGAACTAGTTTCAGGCTTGATGGCAGACTAGGTTCAGATCTTATTTTGAACTAGACTGAGATTTTATGTCAGATAAATTTTGAATGTAAAATTACTTCCAGATTTGATGTTTAGTTGGTTTCAGACTTGTTGTCTATTGTGGAAATCGTGTGCATTAAATAGAGGTAGTCACATTGCTAGTGTTTTCTCAAGTGTTTATTCTTGTGAGAAGAATTGTGAATATCTCTAAAATATCGATAGTCTGCGTTCTACTAAAGAATTCACCAGAAGAGAGGAAACTGACCCTATTACCACAATGTCTTCCTTGCATGCTTATTGCCATATTGCCAAGGAGAAAACCAGCAGCCTACAAAGGTTAGACACAGTTCAAAAGGCTATAAGTAGCACACAGGTTAAATAAGAACAGGGGCAGGAAGTAGGATACTGCCTCAGTTAAGGAATAATGCTGGGGTAAAGGGGTTAGACGTAATTTAGATACAAGAGAAAGAAAGCTGTATGTAACAAAATGATCTTCTACATGTTGAAATAGTTTTCAGATTTGATGTCAAAGTTTCAGATTCAAAGTGAAAGTAGTTTTAAATGCCAAACTAGCTTTAGATTTGATGTTGAACTAGTTTAAATTTATGTGGAAGTGCTAATACAGTTATATCATACACAAGTGATTTAGAAACGATAGGTACACTATTATCACTATTACACAACTGTAACATGACTAATTCAATACATATCAAATCAACCACATTGATTTATTAACTATTATGGTTATTTTATCATGAGATGTTTGTGCATAAATAAGACAAAAAAAATTGTTGTCTTTTTGTACACCGCCTCCATGAAACAGGACAATAAAAACACTTGTAATTATCTGAGATGATCTTTTTGCAGTCCAGTCTGGACTTTGGACTTCATGTCAACACCATCTAGCATCACATTATTTCCTTATTAATTCTCATTTACGTCTTCAATTTACCCCATTTTTACCTTTCATCTGGCTGTAAAGGTTGATAAGGTATAGTCGTCACCCTGCTGGGCAGATGTGGGTGGTGCTAGCACCCAAGTTTCTAAATGATGAGATAGGATTTGGAAATTCATGCTCTAGCTGCACCGAAAAATTTCAAGTATATATCTAAGTTACTTTAATGTCAATGTCTAAGTCACAGGTCATATTTTCTAAAACTTTTGTGAAGTTAGTTACTGTCAGTTACTTCAAGGTTCAAGGTTCTTTATTTGTCACATGCATAGTTATACAAGTATAACACACAGTGAAATATAGCCTGACACGCTCCTCGACATGTGCAAAAAAATTTGGGGGGGGGGGTGTAGAGGAAAAACATTATATATAATATATATATATATATATATATATATATATATATATATATATATATATACACACACATATAGTATATACATTGGGTGAATGTGCAGTAGTAGCAGCAAGCAGGTGAATTCTGTACATTAATATGAATAGACATCTGACTATTTTACAGGATAGACAATATAAACATATTTAAAATTAAAGGAATTGAAATGTACATTGTGCCTTGGTTTAGTGTCTGGAAGAGTCCTGACTCAGTCAATTATAGATGATGTGAGAGGGCGGGTGTGTGTGTTTAGGGCACGGATGGCTTGGGGATAGAAGCTCCTCTTGAGTCTCTCTGTCCTTGCCCGGAAGATGCGGAACCTTCTAGAGGGAACCTTCTACTTCAAGAGGAAAGTCACCTAGGACTGTCAAATGTACATGCATCTGATGGAGGCTGAGGGAATATTGCTGGCAACCACCAATATTTGTGTAATTTCCCAATGATTTCATGGGGGGATGAAACCAACAGACATGCTGGGTCTCCAACTGCTGCATTTGTAACAAAACAGACTAGAACAACAAACTGCACTGAAAGACAAAACACAGGGGGATACACAAACAAACATGAAGTTTTGCTGTTTGTTTCTATGTGTGTCTGTGTAGGTGTGAGTGTGAGAGAGAAAAAGCAAAAGAAATAATGTGAGTTTGTCATGAAACATACTCGAAAATGAGAGTGAGTGTGGTGGATTTTTGGATGACATGTATACAGGTGTACCTGTATACCTGACTCCTGGTGTTCGTGGCATGTCCCACCAGGAGGACGCTCCGGGGCAGACCCAGGACATGCTGGAGAGATTATATCTCGCCTTGGTATTAGTTGGTGTTGACACTTTGATGCATTTCTGCAGCTCATTCATGATTCAGGCTGTGAAAGTTTGGGCGATTATCAACAGGTTTATCTACTTAATGTCAGCAGGTCATTGCTCCTTGCATCTTTGGCATCTTTCTGTTTATGTCTGTAAAAACTACAAACTCTTTTAGAAACATGCTTTCTTTAAGTCAGTGTCAAAGGTGCGAAAACTGACTGCTACTAGATGAATATGGAGAGAGCCAGAACTTTATTTTTATTGGTCACCTGAAACCTAAATACGTAGTCAACAACTTTTATGTGCTCTAATAAGCAGCTTGTCATGTGAAAATCCTCCAGGCACCTTCTGTACAGAGTGTAGAAATAAGTGTCAAAATGATCCGGAAACTATATTCAGAGTCAGAGAGACAATTATTCAGCAAAAAATAAAAACCATGAAACAGTTTCACAGTTAAAGGGTTTTCATGTGGAGATCACATTCATTCCTGCATTCCTGCACCTCCTTAAACTCAGCAGATTTCAAGCTTTCACTCCTTAATATTTAATATCATCTTTCTTTAAAGATTAGGCCTTTCCAGATTACACCTAAATTATTGTTTTCTCAGATATTCCACTTTATATTATGTACTTTAAAATAACAAATTTCCACAGAGCACAGAGAATTGATTTTTGTTACTTTGATTTAAAGCCAGTATCATGTCACGCCATCATCAAATAGAGGGCGCTCTAACATAAATAGATGTGGATCTTTGTGTTTTCTTTTTCAGCTCCAACAACAATTCTTTAATCCGTACCTCTTTCATGAGCCTCATTGTACTCTTACTGTTTTTAGACATACAAGCTGCAAAGTTCCTTCATCTAACTTTTCATCTTACATGTGTAAGAGTGAATGGTCTGGAAAAAAGAAAATATCCAGTTAGCGTGAACATGCCTTGTTGATGTCAGACGACAGAGGAGAATTGCCAGAATGCAAAAGGGACTCAAATAACCAGAAGACCACACGAGTTTCACTAAGAACAAAAGACGGGAAATACATGTCCTGGTCTAATGAGTCTGTGATAATGATTACTGCTGTGACCTTCATTGTGACTTGAACGTGAGTAAGGAACAGTGGTGAACCAGCAACTAATGCACGCAGGGAGTGAAGGGTGGTCTGTGTGGTTCCATCGAACGGAAAATTGACTGTGGCTCAAACAACCAAAAAGGTTGATGCTGGTTCTGAAAGAAAGGTGTCAAAATGCATGGTGTATTGCAGTTCATGTGAGGAGGAGGCTAACAAATTTGAGATGTTGACTTGGCCTTTAAATTCCTCAGATCTCAGCACACCTTCAGAAGTCCAGTGGGGTCTATACCTCAGTGGGTCAGGGCTGTTTGTCAGTAATAACATCAGTGCACCAATTAGATCTGCAGAGGACTGAAGTAATTATAAGCCAAGGAGTTGAGATGTTGGAACACTGCACATAGTGTATTATGTGTATGTGGGCTCCACCCTGTGAAACACTAGAGACAAAACCTGAGCACAATAAACAACCATTTTGGATCTGACCTTTATATACAGTACAACCAGAAAAATCACAAGGACATTTGTTTTGTTTTTTTAATTACAAATTAACAGATATTGGACAAAAACTTAAACAAATAAACAGTAAAGACTAAAAGTACAAGTTGTATGGGTGCATGTCTGCTTATTGTATGTTTGTTGATTATGCTGTTTTATAATCACGTTCCTTTAAATGTTAAAAACAAACCACAAATAACTGCTACAGCAGCAAAAATTAAACACAACTCCTTAATGTTAATGTCAAATAACAACTTAAAAACGCAAAATACATATAGGGTATACACTGTCTTTTAAATGGGTTTTTTTCCTGTGCAGCCAGTTGTATTTAGTTTCAGGCAGTAACACGTTAGTGCTCCAGTTCTGCCCTCGTGCAGATTGTAACACGACTACTGTTGGAAATGTTTCAACAACCTGACTTACAGTGAGCTCAAACTGCACCCGTCTCACAGTCTGCGAGTTGAAGTAAAACATGGTTACACACAATTTCTGTGCCTTTAGGAAATTCTGCAGACGTAAATCAACTGTGCTTAAAATAGATTATTATGAAGGTGTAATTTTACATTACATATTTTGAAATATTAGGTAATTGTTATTTTGTTTCATTACGCATTTGTTTTAATTAAAACTTACCCTCCAAAAATAAAGATATAATTTTTTTAGAGAATTGATTGCTGACGTACAAAGCTCCAAAATATTGCATCTACATAGTTTTTAGTGCAAACCACTTTTGCTTAAAAAACCCCCCAAAAAACACAACAACATCAACAACAACAAAATAAAGCAACAAAGAGCAATAGCAGATACACACCTGCACCACTTGATTGTTCTGTTTTTACATTGTTACCCCAGTAACAAGCCAAGCGTTCAGACCGTGACCTCTGAGTCAGCTACAGAGCCACGTCCCCTGAATGCTGCCCATCCTCTTCTGTTCCCATTTGGAAGACACAGGTAGTTTGTTATTATTACCTGTTAATACTCCCAAGCCTGGATAATAGGAGGAAGCATACAACACTTTCAAAGCTGCTGAGGACATGACTGAAGGTCACATATATATTAGGGATGCAACGATACACAAAATTCACGGTTCGGTTCGATACTTTGGTGTCATGGTTCGATATTTTTTTGATACAAAAAAAAAATGTTCATGCCTTTTTAATTTGTCATTTATTAAAATTATAAATATATATTTTAACTCAAAAGTACAGTTTTTAAATTTAATGTTGCTTAAACAACAAAGTAATACAAAAATAAATCTATCTCATCGAGAAAACATTCATCTTTGGAAAAGAGAGTTTATTACAGAGAAATGGCTCTTTCCAAACTAAAAGCTATACTATACGCTTCTTCTGGGCTATATTCTCATCAGCATATTAAACATGTCAGGTCCCCATAAGGAGAATCATGTGCTAACGGCTGTCTAAATGACTCGGGTAAAGTTTGTAGCATGTGTGCTTGTTGTTTTTGTCTGCTTCCACTTGTCTTTGCACTAGGATGATGTCGGAGTAAATGTGCAGTCATATTTGTTGTGTTCCCACTAGTGCTGTCAGCGTTAATCTGAAATGACGTTAGCGCCACAACATGGCAAATCTCCGTTAACGAGCTACCGATCGCCCCGTGTCTGAGGCTGGATGGCCAACACGTTAACGAGCTAACTGCGCTAACACACTAGCTCCCACCCATGTAATTGAGCATTGCGTGGCACATCCAACATACTGTTTTACTTTAGTCCATGACGCGCTTACCTTCAGGGTCATATGTCACATGAAGACCAAAATAGTTCCAAACGCCACATCTGAATGAGGGTGGGGGAGGTTCAATTTGCCATGTTGCAAGGAGAGCTTAACTTCTGTCTCGCTAGCTTGCCCTGCACTCAGTGAATCTGCGTTCGACTACTCCGCCTAGGCTGCACTGTCGAGCGCAGATCCACTGAGCGCTCAACACAGACAGCATCGTCAGAAGGAAGGTTGATAAAATAAATTAAAAATCTTGTATTGTTCGATACATATGCGTACCGAACCGAAAGCACTGTATCGAACGGTTCAATATCGATATGAGTATCGTTGCACCCCTAATATATATATATATATATATATATATATATATATATATATTACACATCGAGCAAACAGATCACCAACAAGTTAGAGAAATAATATCTTTTACAGACATTCACAGACATTTATTTTACTGCAGAAAAAGAAACTTCTGCTTTTTTTATTTTTGAATTTTTTTTGCAAAGGTCTGCCACAAGACATTTTTGTTGGATGTATCAAAAACAAACAAATAATATGTTTGTAATAATAAACAACATTGCATGATGGAGATAGTGGCCATTTGATTCCCAATTATAAAGAACAGAGGTTCCCAAGAGCCACTGCAGGGGTGCGTGGTATGAAAAGAAAAAAAAAAAAAGAATGCTTGGACACTGCTAGCATAACTGACAGGTTATTGACGGGGCTTCTTATAAAGTTTGTATCTGTCTTGTGTGAAACTTGTATGAAAAGCATACAAGAGTGAAAACAGATATAAGATCCCTTGAAAAATTATATAAATGAAATGTAACTAAACGTAACTACTCCTGAAATTTTGGAGATAATTTGTAATACTTTTGGAGATATATAATGATATATTTAACCCTTTAAGACCTACCATAGAACCAAGTCCGCCAGAGCTTATATTATATTTTTACATGCTGTGGAGCCATTTTTTGGAGCATTTCAAGTTGCTATACATCAATACAACCATTATAGCCCAAATTTTAATAATATGTCTGCATTAAGTGCATAGTAATTACATAAATTGCAAAAAAGTGCAATAAACTACAAAAAATTTAAAATCGTTTTTGTTTTTTTAACATATATTTGTAGTTAGAGAAATTTAAGAGGGTTATCCCTCAAAACTGTAAATACAAAAAAAGTTGCACAACCTAGTTTCCCACCAAAGGAAATTTATTTTAAGTGTCTTCATAGTTTTATTTTTGAGATACACCAATTTTCATATACTGCAGGAAAAACGAAAATAAATATTATAGTGCAAATTTGCAAAATAACAGCATATGCATCAAAATAAAAATATTTCCAGCAGTGCAATATGAGTCCTAAGCATCCCAGAAATGACACAGAAAGTCATAAAGTCAAAGATAACTTTTAAAAACACAAGTATAGGCTCATAAGGCCACGATGGTAAAAAAAAACTACATTTCCGCAAAATGACGTCACTTCCGGTTTTGGGCAGGTCATGCCGGACATTTGATAGTTCACCCTGATGGACTAGGAAGTGTTATGAACAGATGATCAGATTGGCAAAGCGTGTTTCTGGAATATTATGTTTTTGTTGCTGCAAGTGCTTTTTATGCAGTTTTTGCAAAGCTGTATGTGGATGGAAACTGTGACCGAGGACAAGCTGATGGCATAAGATGTAAGTACAACTCCTCCGGTTTCATATGCAAAAAAAAGTATTGCGCTAGCTTACGTGGTTGCAGAGCTACCGGGATTTAAAAATAGTTATGCAAAATGGAGCGTGTCCGCTCCGACCGGCTTTAAAGGGATAATAGATATACATATATAATTCCGTAATTTGTTCCCCCTGTCCAAATCATGAACAAACAGTATCTCATAGTTGTTTATGTTTTTAAACCCATTTTTCAAGAAGATTTTTCTTGTAAAACAAAGTAAATGTGTGTGTGTGTGTGTGTGTGTGTGTGTGTGTGTGTGTGTGTGTGTGTGTGTGTGTGTGTTTTTTAGAAGACCTGGAAACGGAGACATTGGTTACACATTACTATCCTTACCGTGCTGTCCTCTGGGGCCTCCGTGTTAGCTTTGAGTGGGATTCCTCCAGTGTCTCCAGAGTCATAAAGCTGCAATTTCTCTCTCTTTTTTAGACAGAAAAATGCAAGGACTAGGACTGCAACAAAAAGCAGGCATATTCAAGATCAGAGCTCACAGAGTGCTTTTATGTGTGGTATACCTACACTATTGTATGCAGCATTGTTCGCTTCCTAATATGCAATGAGCAAACTACAAGAGAACCCCCATCTAACCCTTACAACTTAATCACAGTGGGAGACTCACAAAGCAGTAGGAGGAGGACCACAGGACACAGTACAGTCATAATTCCCAGTAGTCCGAAGGACACAGACCTGCAGGAAAAGGTGAATCAGTCATTTTTCCAAGTGTCCAAAAAGCAACCACACCCCATCTTACCCTGAATCCATATGTAACAAGTGTCACCTGGCAGTTTGTTGCTCTCTGCCAGGTGATTGGCTGAAGAGCTGTGAAAAGGTAGTGGGTGTGTGCGGTGAAGTCAGTGCTCTTCTGTGGAAAAAAACCAGAGGCGATTAATTCGCTTGGGTGTGAGTGGGTATACTGTTGGTAAGAGTCTTTTGCCATTTTGTTTGGATCATTTGTTATTGTAGGTGCCCATTTTTAATGTGTGTCGTTTGACTTTTTTAGTGTTTTAATAGAAGAATTGAATTTAATAGAAGAAACAGCCCTAGATCGACTGCGTGCAGGGAAACTGATCAATATTGTAGGTATATTGATTGTTTTTTTTTAGCTTTGTGATTTTGAATGGTTTGAAGTCCCGTCTCTCTTGTTTATCGCCCAATTTGCACCAGAACGGGGAAACCGGCAGATGTCACGCTAAACAACAGCAGCAGGTTTAAGCTTGATGAGCTGTTGTTAGAATTTATTTAATATTGATTTCTAGTATCAGCTGATATTTGCTGGAGCCAACAGCTGTAAAAGCTGCTGGTCATGATATCAGTTTGGTGAGAGGGAAACATGAAGATGAAACCAGGAGATGTCCTTACTGAATCATCAGAGCTGAACAGGTGATGAAGAAACAGGTTTACCTTTTAGGTGACATGAATGAGTTGAAAGGAAGTTATGAACTGTTTCTGAGAGACAAATAACACCAGGATGCTTTTCTAAGTAGCTGACAGCTGGTAAGTGTGCAGGGGTGGATCTAGCAAAGTTTTGCCAGGGGGCCAGGTAGGGCATTAACAGGGAGAGGGGGGCACAAAGAAATACTTTTCTTTCTTATTTTCATTTAAAATGTCTGGCTGTTATTAAATAAATGTCTGAATCTTACAACCAAAGTTTTTATCTGATGTAAAATGTATAGAAATCATACATATACCAACAAGACTGTACATCACTGTCACAACAGCGTTTGTTTTCATTCAAAGGCTTTATGATTTTTCCTATAATACCTGGTGGGCGGGTCTCTGGTCAAAATGCTCGGGCCGATCTGTTGTCCCAGTCCAGCCCTGACTGCATCCACTTTTTCAACATTGACATTCACAGGGATGGACTGCCACGTGGCACTGCTGCCATTCAGTGATGCTACATTTTGTGCAGTGATCTGAAGCTGGACATCATTGGTCTTCTCATAATCTAATGGCTGGAAAAAAGAAAGACATTTTAAAGTTTATAAATATAACTCAGTTGTATATAGGCTGACTTTGCATTAGATGTGATCCATGCAAAATGCTTCCACCAACATCACTAAATGATAATAATGAATTGAATAATAAGCCAGTCTCACCTTTGAGATGTACAAAAGCCCTTCGTTTGTTTGCGGGTCAGTAACTATCCTGAAATTTCCATTTTCGTTTCCTTTAGTAATAACAAACTTTGACATCCAGTTTGATGTGTTTATCAAATCTTTATCTTGAACAGGAATTCGAAGTAAAAGTTTTTCACTTTCATCTTCTTGCACAGTAACATTATACTACAAGAAAAAAAGCAGAGGGGGTTAATTGCTGTTTACTTATGTTAGTAAAAAGTATTTTGGTGAAATAAGTAGAAAAAGGACGCCAAAATCAATCGATATGATTTCAGTTATTCAGCCAAATTACAAACTGACGGTTCTTTCAAACACTTACAGATGATTTCATGAAGGTTGGTGGATTGTCATTAATATCACTCAGAGCGATTGTTGCTGTCGATGTGGCAAACAGACCATTTGGTGCACCATTCATATCCTGGATTTTTACAGTCACCACATGGTTGTCTTTTAACTTTAAAAGAAATGTTACAAAGTATTATAATAAAAATATGTTGTAAAGCACTTGCATCATCGATTTTAATGATGCAAGTTTTCAATTACATAAAGTTCACAGGACCAGTGATGCAGAGGCAGTGCTCACCTCTCTGTCTAGGGTGTTGGTTGTTGTTGTGATGACACCTGTTTCTGGATGAATGGTAAACATGTCTGATCCAGATACGAGTGTATATTTAATCTTCACATGGTCTGTGCCAATTTGGTCTCTGTCAGTTGCACTCACCACTCCCACCACAGTCCCTGTATTGTAACCCATAATCATTTAGAGCAACTGCACTGAAAATCAAATACAACAGAATCAACTATTACTGTATGTTGTCTTTCTCACCTGCACTACAGTGCTCAGGAACTGTAAAGTGTAAAGGACCTACGAACTCTGGAGCATTGTCATTGACATCATCTACAATCACTCTCAGGGGGGCTTTCTCATCTAGCTCCGCATTGGTATGCCTGTCAAAAACAATCATCAAAATCTATAGAGGGAAAACAAACAAACGTTTGACTAGTTTGATGCACACAAATATAGAAAGCAGAGTCAGGAACATCACAAGACTCCATATGTGAACTGTGCCAGTTCCAGGTTTGAATGAAAAAATAAATAAACAAACATGCTCAGTAGAGGAACAAATATTGTGTAACTATTTGAATGATTGATAAATCACTCCTTAAAGATGACTGTGGAACATTATTGGAACTCTTTACAAATCTTCTAAACCAGCGTCATCTTCACACTCACATTATATGCTGGGAACTCCTCACGATCCACTGCTTTGAGCAAGAACAGAGCCCCCGTGTCTGTGTCCATACTGAACACTCCAGTTGGATACGTATCGACTCCTTCTCCTTCAATAAAGTACCAATAACGGCTGTCTGGGGAATCTGACCCCTGCCACAGCAGAAACCAAATAAAATGATACATATTAAGGAAAAGAAAAAAAAGATTCTGTTATTCATAAAGTCTTTACAATCTGATGTGTATTGACAATAAACATTTGTATACCACAGTGATCATAAATGATGAAAATTAAACATTCAATTCACCCTGTCAATTAGTTTTGGATAGCTCCCTTCATAGTTCTCCACTACATGCCACGGGGGAATAAGAAAACATGCCCGTCTTCTAGAGCGGTTCAGGGAGCCTTGGCCTCGTCGCTATGACATTCCAACAAGTTCAGACATGTTAGAAAAAAGATGCACTGTTCCTTCTGACCTGTATAAACGACTCACAATATGCAGTTGCCTTACATGTCTTTTCAAGATGGTACTGTGGACAAGGTGAACTTCCATCTTATTTTCCAGTCCACTATTGTCCCGAGCAGACACAGAAAATATCCGTCCTCTTTCTCCCACTGAGACAGACGTTAAAGCTACGACTGCTCCGTTACTTTTTATTGTGAAACTCGGGTCCTTCACAGTTAACTGCACTGATTTTAAATCACAGCCGACGGTTTCAACTGAAAAGCGAGAAAGTGAAAGTTAAAAAGAGACATAAAACACAAAACATTCGGCTTACAACACTTTTTCAAACTGAAGGAATAACACAAATACACAGAGCGGCACCTTTTGCTACTTGGTATCCAGCTGGAATTATTTCAGGTACAATTACGTAGAGAGATCTCAGCAGAAAGCATGACTCCACACAGGACAGGATCTGGAGGTGAAAGTGAGTTTCAAACTGACTTGTCACATTTAATGTTTTAATGCTTCCTGGCATGACAAAAGTGAGAGAAAGTAAACATGTATCAATCATGTAGGCGTGCTCTAAAACCAAACTAGAAGCACTTACCAGCATTAGGTAGGTGGAGGAAATCAAAAGTTTCCCCATGTTTAGGAAAAAAAAAAAGAGACTGACTTTGTCCTGCGTCAAAGTGTTGGGAGTCTGGTTAGTGTAAGTGTGTTAACTCAAGAGCTTTGTCTCTGGTCTATTGCTTCACTTCTCTATCAATGTAAAAACGTAGGCGTTTCTCAGACGGCACACCCCACTATCGCATGAGTGCTGCTGTTTGACTGAGGATAAATAAAGTAGTCGTGTTAAACCAATCACATGACTACTTCAAGATGACAAAGCAAAAAGATGATATATAACAGTTTTTCAGTTGTGTTGATAGGCCACGTAAAACCAGAGTCATGATAAACAATATATACGTGGCATCTTTTCCTCACCTGTAATGTCTAAGGACAGCTCTAGCAAGCATTCTCAGCTTATGAGCATAAAAAAAAGAAACAAAACAAAGAACACCTGTGTTGGTGGAAAAATGTAAAATGTTGACCAATCAAAAAATGTTCTGGCAACATGACATTTGGATGTTTAGAAAGAGGGGGGAATTTAAGGAGTGATGGTGAGAGAGAGACAGAGAGAGTTTGTGAGAGATTTAGCGTGTTTGGAGTGTGTATATGCGGTTGTTACAGTAAAGAATGTACCTTTTTCTAATCAGAGTTTCTTTTTTGTCTGACTTTAGATCAGTTGTGCTAATACAGTATGTCAAAATGAAAACATAACTGTAAATTCAGACATGTGAGGTTGTGCTGAAAAGAATGACATAAGTGAAACCTAAAATGGGACTAAATTAAACAAACTATGACGACAATGACACTAAGCCAGGCCACTGAGTGTTTGCTTTCAACAGTTCAGGTTCATGCTCATGTCATGTTTAAAGTACTTCACGTTCAAGGTTTTTCATTCACCTGTTCAGGTTTCATCTTATGCCTCGTGTCATTGTCTCCATAGTTTGTTTAGTTCAGTCCCAGAATAGGTTTCACTTTTGTTTGGTCTCGCCTTGTTTTTCTGATTTGTTTTTTCTTTTTTTTATCAGCCGTAATAAAGGCTCACTTTTTGTTTGATCATCAGTTTATTTCTTCTATGCTTGCTTTTAGGTCCGCTCCACAAACACACCGGCCATGACGGCCGTGACAATTTTGTTTTTTCTGGGACTTTTTGTTATACCACTGTGGTTGTGAATCTTACTTCACAGCACAGGTAGTCTAAATCTCAAATAGCAACAAGCAAGGTTAGAGAGTGCATTAAAGGTGAAAGTGAGTTTCAAACTGACTTGTCACCTTTAAATGTTTTAATGCTTCCTGGCATGACAAAAGTGACAGAAAGTAAACATGTATCAATCATGTAGGAGTGCTATAAAACCAAACTAGGAGCACTTACCAGCATTAGGTAGGTGGTGGAAATCAAAAGTTTCCCCATCTTAGGAAAAAAAAAGACTGACTTTGTCCTGCGTCAAAGTGTGTTGGGAGTCTGGTTAGTGTAAGTGTGTTAACTCAAGAGCTTTGTCTCTTGTCTATTGCTTCACTTCTCTATCAATGTAAAAACACAAGTGTTTCTCAGACGGCACACCCAAGTGGAATTTTAAACAAGCGAAATAGCTTCGGGCTGTGCTCGCTGGTGTCTGCTGAGAAACCTCCCTGAAAGTTGCAGATATTCAAGTGTTTTTTCCCCACCAGCAGGGGCAACATGTCTATTTTACTGCAAGACATTAAACCGCGACTAAATGCTTTACTATTTCCCCATGTAGCATTATTTATATAAATCTGTGCATATAGAGTATAAACAATATTCTTATAACACTACAGCATGCTGCAGGTACACGTATTTGAAGAAATACTGGTCTGTCTGCTTTTTTTGTCAAGACTTATCTGCAGTAATGAATTAGTCATTGCTCATCAGGACTAATACAGTTTCCTAATACAACACATCTACCAGGATTCACAGTTGTGGCCAACCAGCAAACCAACAGTAGTATCAACACTAAGATTTTGCTTAAACCCCACCAAGAATAAATCTTAGACCGAACCAGTTGTCAGAAACAATTTTTCTTATTGCGACCTGAAAAAAGTAAAAGAAAGTCAATAATGATAACACTATCTATGCACTTCCTAGGAAAATGTTTTAAATAAGTCAGTGTTTTATAGCTTTTCTCATTGCCAATAAAGCCAGCATTTACAAAAAAAACCCCAAAAAACTAATCTGTATGTTGTTAGGTGGGACATAAGCTGTGCTTGTTACTTGTGATACCACATATAACAACCCATTGTATAGGTGGCTGTGAAAAACATGCATATAGGCAAGGTAAGTTTATTTGTATAGCACAATTCAACAACAAGGTGATTCAAAGTGTTTTACAGAGACATTAAAAACAAAAACAAATAAAAAGCATGATTTAAAATTGATTAAAACAAGCAAACAAACAAACAAACTAATTAACAAACAAACAAACAAAACAGTATATAAAATCAAAAATCAGAACAATAGATAAAATCAGTAGTTAAAATGTTAGTTTTGAAATTTAAGCTTAAATGGGTGGAATTGGTGTTTTATTCAAATGCAGCTGAGAACAGGTGAGGGCACAAAACATCAGGCCTGACATTAGAAAGTGATCATGGCTGTCATGACTGGATATAAATGTTGATAATATAATAGACTCAGGTGGCTCAAGCCATATACATTTATTATTTTTTGGAATTTTTGTTTGTGACCAGGCGTTTTGAGTTAATTTTTTTTATTTTTGATTTCCTTATGTTAGATTGAGATTATATTAAATTCTTGTGTTATAATTCAGTTAGGGAGTAATTGAGTTTCATTCTAGTTTTTGTTTCATCTATGTCTCCTGATATGAGTCTTTTCCTCTCCTCTATGTAGTCTGGCTTGTCCTCAGTGTTTTTACTTTCAGTTATCTCAGTGCGTCATTCTCTCCCTGTGTTACATTTTCTAAGCTTGTGTTGTCAAGTCTCCATTATGTTTCCTGTTGTATTTTGCAAGTGGTTTTTGTAAATTATTATTTTCAGTGGGTTTAGTTTTGCTTCCCCTGTGGCATCATGTTCATTTGTGTCAGCTGTGTTTCCTCAGGTGTTTCCACTTCCTTCATTACCCTCCTGTATATTTAAGTCCTCTGTCTTCCTCTCCTCCTTGTCATGTCACCATGTCAAGTCAGGTCAGGTCACTGAGTGTTTCCTTTCAACAGTTCAGGTTCATGCTCATGTCATGTTTGAAGTACTTCACGGTTTTACATACACCTGTTGAGTTTTCATCTTATGCCTCGTGTCATTGTCTTCATAGTTTGTTTAGTTCTGTCACAGTTCGGCTGTGTGGCAGGCAGGAGAGGACCCAAACGCAAACTCACAGAGACAAAAGGTAAACTCAAAAAACACAGCTTTATTGCTGGCGTGAAGTGGGACACGAAAAAACAATACAAAATAAACTAAACTGGGAAAACTAAAGCACAAAGAACCACAGGGAAAAATCACACAGCTATGATGGAGGACGCAACACTGACAAAGAGAAACATGGGGCTTAAATACACTGAGGGATAACGAGGGGGAATGAGCCACAGGAGGAGAGCACAGCTGAGAGTAATTGAGCAGGACGAGGCAAGGGAAGCAAAACTAGAAACATTAACATAGAACAGACTGTGAAAGTAAAACAGGAAACACACTGACGGAACTCAAGACATGTGGACTTAACAGACTGGGGGAGACAGAACATAGGGATCTGAAACATGGAACAGAAAGGCACAGTAGATCAACATGAACATAACAACGCCACAGGGGAAGAGTAAAACTGAACACGATGAACACAGAAACACCAGACCTCTTCACAATAAAACAGGAAACATAATGAGACGTAGACATGACAACCCAAACTTCACAATGTAAGACACAGACATGAAACGCATGAAAAGCAGGGGAGATTTACCATAGTTGGAAACACGAGGGGGAAATAATAAGAACTAGAAACACTTAAGCATGATAACAAATGAACTTAGGAACCTGAAGGGCTTACATAAACTAAAACATCAAAATGAACTAAAACTCAAAACACTGGGTCATAAGACCCAGGATCGTGACAAGTTCAGTCCCAGAATAGGTTTAGTTTCACTTGTTTTACTGTTTGTTTGTTTTTTTCTTAATATCAGCCGTAATAATGGTTTGATCATCAGTTCATTTCTCCTGTGTTTGCTTTTGGGTCTGCTACACAAACATGCAGGGCATGACGATCCTTTCTTTTTTCCTGGCACTTTTTTTTATATATATCACTGTGTTTTTGAATCTTACTTCATGGGGTAGGTAGTCTAAATCTCAAAAAGCAACAAGCAAGGTTAGAGAGTGCATTAAAGGAATGCCACAGTTATTACTCATGTTTCCTGAGTAGAATATTTCTCATTTCTAACTTTTGTTTTTTTTGAAATATTCAAGTTTATTCAACAAGAAATTATAATGTATTTCAAATGAGAGAATCTCCACCTCCCTTTTCAACTTTACTTCCACATACATTGACCTACAGACACCATTCAAACTTTAAAACAAAGCCAAGTCATTGAGCCATTCAGCTTGCATGTCTCTTTTCAATGTCTTTTATAGCTTTTCCTTCAGTTCCTGTTCAAGTTCCATGTTTTATTCCCACATTTCAGATTTTATAGTAGATGCCTATATGACGGTATGTTGGCAATTCCCTGTTCCATTAGTACCTACTTGGATCAACTCTGCGTGGTTTGCAGGGTTTGCCATCAGGTTATAGTACATGCTCAGCCAGATTTCCAAGTGATCCAAACAGGTACTACAGTGTGACACCGTCAGACTGCATGCCACTGATTGGCTGGTCAGTAGCATCATTCGATGAGTCACTAGAGCATCTTGTTCACGGAAATAGCATTTTTGAAAGTAAGCAATAAAGGAAATGGTTACAAAAAACAAATTTAAGTTCAGATAGTGGAACATTACACACACTGTAATGCTCAATTTGTTTTTAATTTTTTTACTGTGTTTTCACTGTGCAGCCAGTTGTATTTAGTTTCAGGCAGTAACACTTTACCTCTCCAGTTCTGCCCTTGTGCAGATTGTAAAAGGAGACTGTTGGAAATGTTTCAATAACCTGCACCCATTTGACAGTCAGGGAGTTGAAATAAAACACAGTAACACAATATTGCTGTGCCATTAGGAAATTCAGCAGGAGTAAATCAACACTGAGTAAAATAGATCATTATGAATGTCTAATTTTACATTACATATTGTGAAATATTAGGCAGTTATTTTCTTTCGTTATGTTTTTGTTTTACTTCAAATATATCTGCAAAGATGAAAATTAATAACAATAAAAACCAGCAACAAGGCGAAAAAAGAAATGCACTTTCTTACTGCAGACAATGATTTAAATAAAAAAAAGAGTAAAACATACCATAGTTGCTACTAACTAATATACAGACAAACACGAGTAGCTGAATTTCAACCCAAATTAACCAGAACTTCTAGTCCATGAACTAAGAGCTAAAAGGTTCCCTTAAGGTGGTTTTGTATGTTCTCCCACCAATAGCTTGAGTGCAAGAAAACACAGTTTTGTTTTTGTTTTGTTTCCATTTCCCTTCACAGCTTTCTGAATTAATTTAAGTTGGTGATAATCAACAATTTATGTCGTATACCCCAAAAACAGCTGGATTTTTATGAGAAATCGCGTTCCAACAAGAAACGTGTCTTCACCAAAGACTCCTGAAGTGTAAGAAGGAGCTGTCCTCCAAAAATAAAGATATGATTTTTTTTTAGATCTTGAGGTACAAAGCTCCAAAAGATTGCTTGGTAAGGAGCTCCTGGTGGAAATGTTGCTAAAGCCATACAGCACACAGTATGCACAACTAACAGCATCTGCTTAGTTTTTAGAACAAAACCACTTTAACATTAAAAATATAAACAAAGGAACAACAAAAAACTCACAACAACAATAACAGCAAAGAAATAAAGCAAAAATCAGCAATAGCAGATACACACCTGCACCACCTGCTTGTTCTTTTTTTATATATGTATTCTTACCCCAGAAACAAGCTAAGCATTCAGACCCAATCTGCATCTTTTACAGCTTAAAGTAAACAACATTAATCTGGAGTGACTGTTTTCATTTCTTTCTGCAGACCTTTGCAAGATTTTTTAACTTTCATCTGAATGTGTTCAGAAAGTCAATGTTATCGTTTTCATTATTATCACTGCAACATCTGATAGAGCCAGTTACACAGCCACATCCTTAGACCCTTAGAAGTGAATGATATCGTCTGCATATTGCCCTTTTGTTCCCATTTGGATCAGTTTCTAGAAGACACAGGCAGTTTGTTAATATTTCCTGTTATTACTGACGGTCAGATATTGAACATCGGGCTAACATATCACCAACAGGTTAAAGACAAAATATATTTTACCAAAAGCTGAGAAATGCTGAGGTTTGAACAGGATACTATCCAGACTTAGAGAAAAAGATGATATTACAAATGGGATTTAACTCATGTTTGTAATCATAAAAAAAATATTACCTGATGTAGATAGTGACCATTTGTTATACAGAAAACCTCTTTAGTCTACACCACTACCAACAGGCTGACCAATGGTGCTTGAGGTTTTTCTTTCAAGCCAAGATTAATCATTACACCCTTAACATAAACCATTTAGTGTTTGGTCAGTCTCGAAACGGAGACGACTGATGAGACTTGCATCAATCAAAGCAAAAGCAGCAATAAAACAAATAAAGCCAAAGGAGGGGGGGGAAGAAGCAAATATGGTTTCTTTGTGAATAACTGTAAGCCGAGACGGTGCTTCTACGTTACTAACCTTACCGCGCTGTCCCCTGAGACCTCTATGTTGGATATGAGTGGGATTCTTCCTGTGTTTCCTGGTTCATTAAGCTGCAATTTCTCTCTCTTTGTTAGACAGAAAAATGCAAGAAGCAGGACTGCAACAAAAAGCAGGCGTGTTCAAAATCAGAGGTCACAGAGTTCTTTTATGTGTGGTAGTCATCACAAGAATGAGCATAGCAGCATTATACACTACACTATTGTATGCAATAGTGTTCACTTCCTAATATGCAATGAGCAAACTACAAGAGAACCCCTATCTAACCCTTACAACTTAATCACAATGGGAGACTCACAGAGCATCAGGAGCAGGACCACAGGGCACAGCATAGTCATAATTCCTAGTAGTCCGAAGGACACAGAGCTGCAGGAAAAGGTGTATCAGTCATTTTCCAAGAGTCCAGACAAAGGAAACAACCATACCCATCTTACCCTGCATCCACTTTTTCAACATTGACATTCACAGGGATGGACTGCCACGTGGCACTGCTGCCATTCAGTGATGCTACATTTTGTGCAGTGATCTGAAGCTGGACATCGTTGGTCTTCTCATAATCTAATGGCTGGAAAAAAGAAAGACATTTATAAGTTTATGAATATAAATCAGTTGTATATAGGCCGACTTTGCATTAAATGTGATCCATGCAAAATGCTTCCACCAACATCACTAAATGATAATAATGAATTGAATAATAAGCCAGTCTCACCTTTGAGATGTACAAAAGCCCTTCGTTTGTTTGGGGGTCAGTAACTATCCTGAAATTTCCATTTTCGTTTCCTTTAGTAATGACAAACTTTGACATCCAGTTCGATGTGTTTATCAAATCTTTATCTTGAACAGGAATTCGAAGTAAAAGTTTTTCACTTTCATCTTCTTGCACAGTAACATTATACTACAAGAAAGAGCAAGAAGATGGGGAAGAGAGGGGGTGTCTTTAGTATTTCTTTAATTATGTCAGTAAAAAGTATTTTGGTGAAATAAGTAGAAAAAGGACGCTAAAATCAATCGATATGATTTCAGTTATTCAGCCAAATTACATGCAGACAGTTCTTTCAAACACTTACAGACGATTTCATGAAGGCTGGTGGATTGTCATTAATATCACTCAGAGCAATTGTTGCTGTCGATGTGGCAAACAGACCATTTGGTGCACCATTCATATCCTGGATTTTTACAGTCACCACATGGTTGTCTTTTAACTTTAAAAGAAATGTTACAAAGTATTATAATAAAAATATGTTGTAAAGCACTTGCATCATCGATTTCAATGATATTTTCAATTAAAGTTCACAGGTATCAGTGATGCAGAGGCAGTGCTCACCTCTCTGTCTAGAGTGTTGGTTGTTGTTGTGATGACACCTGTTTCTGGATGAATGGTAAACATGTCTGATCCAGATACGAGTGTATATTTAATCTTCACATGGTCGGTGTAAATTCGGTCTCTGTCAGTTGCACTCACCACTCCCACCACAGTCCCTGTATTGTAACCCATAATCATTTAGAGCAACTGCACTGAAAATCAAATACAACAGAATCAACTATTACTGTATGTTGCCTTTCTCACCTGCACTACAGTGCTCAGGAACTGTAAAGTGTAAAGGACCTACGAACTCTGGAGCATTGTCATTGACATCATCTACAATCACTCTCAGGGGGAATTTCTCCTCTAGCTCCACATTGGTATGCTTGTCAAAAGCACGCACTACAAACTATAGAGGGAAAAAAAACACACACATGCACACAAATATCGAAAGGAGAGGCAGGGACATAACAAGACTCCATATGTGAACTGTGCCAGTTCCAGGTTTGAATGAAAAAAGAAATAAACAAACATGCTCAGTAGAGGAACAAATACTCTGCAGCTATTTGAATGATTGATAAATCACCCGTTAAAGATGACTGTGGAACATTATTGGAACTCTTTACAAATCTTCTAAATCAGCGTCATCTTCACACTCACATTATATGCTGGGAACTCCTCACGATCCACTGCTTTGAGCAAGAACAGATCCCCCGTGTCTCTGTCTATACTGAACACTCCAGTTGGATACGTATCGACTCCCTCTCCTTCAATAGTAAAGTACATATCATGGCTTGCTGAGGGCTCTGACACCAGCTACAGGAGAATCCAAATAAAATCATAAACAAAAACAAGGATTCTGTTATTCATAACGTGTTTATCATGAAGCAGTCTGCTGTGGGCTCTTTCAGCTCACAGGGTCATGAAATAGATCAAAAGTGTACGCAGTTTACAATATGGTACTGTAGCTCAAACACATAACATCAAAGAAAATAATAACTTTGTCAGCTGAATGTAACCTGAATCAGATCAAATGAAGGGGGTATATAAATTTAGCATTCAATTCACCTTCTCAAGGAGTATTGGATAGTTCCCTTCATAATTCTCGACTACAGACGTCGGAAAACGACAGGCCGGTCTTTTAGAGCGGTTCAGGGAGCCTTGGCCTCGTCGCTGTGACATTCCAACAAGTTCAGACATGTTAGATAAAAAAAAAAAAAAGACTGTGCCTTCTGACCTGTATAAACGACTCACAATATGCAGTTGCCTTACATGTCTTTTCGGCATTGTACTGCGGACAAGGTGAACTTCCATCTTTCTTTCCAGTCCACTATTGTCCCGAGCAGACACAGAAAATATCCGTCCTCCTTCTCCCACTGAGACAGACGTTAAAGCTACGACTGCTCCGTTACTTTTTATTGTGAAACTCGGGTCCTTCACAGTTAACTGCACTGATTTTGCAACACAGCCGACAGTTTCAACTGAAAAGCGAGAAAGTGAAAGATAAAAAGAGACATAAAACACAAAACATTCGGCTTACAACACTTTTTCAAACTGAAGGAATAACACAAATACACAGAGCGGCACCTTTTGCTACTTGGTATCCAGCTGGAATTATTTCAGGTACAATTACGTAGAGAGATCTCAGCAGAAAGCACGACTCCACACAGGAAAGGATCTGGAGGTGAAAGTGAGTTTCAAACTGACTTGTCACGTTTAAATGTTTTAATAATTCTGGGCATGACAAAAGTGACAGAAAGTAAACATGTATCAATCATGTAGGCGTGCTATAAAAACAAACTAGAAGCACTTACCAGCATTAGGTAGGTGGAGGAAATCAAAAGTTTCCCCATGTTTGGAAAAAAAAAGACTGACTTTGTCCTGCGTCAAAGTGTTGGGAGTCTGGTTAGTGTAAGTGTGTTAACTCAAGAGCTTCTTCTCTTGTCTATTGCTTCACTTCTCTATCAATGTAAAAACACAGGCGTTTCTCAGACGGCACACCCAAGTGGAATTTTAAACAAGCAAAGTAGCTTCGGGCTGTGCTCGATGGTGTCTGCTGAGAAACCTCCCTGAAAGTTGCAGATATTCACTTTTTTTTCCCCCACCAGCAGGGGCAACATATCTATTTTACTGCAAGACATTAAACAGCGACTAAATGCGGTTTAATTCTGGAAAAAGACATTAAACCGCTAAAACTCTTCCCCTCAAAGAGTTTTAGCGGGATTATAAGAGCTACAAATACACACAATTAAAGCATGTAGCATTATTTATAGAAATCTGTGCATATGGAGTATAAACAATTTTCTTATAACACTACAGCATGCTGCAGGTACACGTATTTGAAGAAATACTGGTCTGTCTGCTTTTTTTGCCAAGACTTGTGTGCAGTAATGACTTGGTCTTTGCTCATCAGGACTAATAAATATTTATTTTTGTCAATCTGTTGCAACAGATCTACCAGGATTCACAGTTGTGGCCAACCAGCAAACCAACACTAGTATCACCACCACGATTTTGCTTAAACTCCACCAAGAATTAACCTTAGACCGAACCAGTTGTCAGAAACAATTTTTCTTATTGCGACCTGATTTTTGGCACAAATATAACGGTGTACAGAAAGAGTTGAGCGCGCACAGGCAGAAATGTTGAGAGCGACACATTGCGAGCGAGCGCAAATGCAAAAATCGAGCGAGAAGGGCTGCTATTGTGAGTGTGTGTGGATGATAGCAAACACTGAAATATATTTTTTGCACACAGCAATGAATTTTGTTCACTCAAATTCAGCTTTTCTTTGCTCAAAATAAATTTCTCCTCAAAATGCTACACTTGCACCTGCAATTTTTTTTTACGTGTGCTCAGAATAGTGGCGTAAAAAGTCCAAAACACGTAAAAACTCCAAAACATTTAAAAACTCCAAAGCATGTACAAACTTCGAAGCATGTACAAACTTCGAAGCACGTGCAAAACACAACAGAAGTGCTTCAGGATGCTAGGCGCAGTGTTGAGCTTTTGTTACCTAGTGGCTACACAAGCCAGCAAGTACCAACGACCGGATTTGGTGTGTGGTAGTAACAGGTAAACAAAGATTTTTTTTTTAATTATTTGAATATATATGAGTGTATGTGTATAAATACACAAACAATACACATAAGCTTTCAATTGTGTAATTTAAGTGATCTAGGTAGCTCTGTTTTGGAAGTTCATTAGATCTGACATTAAGACAATCAAGTTGAAATCAAGGAATGTAAGAAGTCACTTACATCCAAGCTGTCTACTCTGAATATCAAGATAACAAGTATGGAGGGAGGCACACAATATTTTGCATCTACAGAAAGTACACAGCCCATCTGCAGGGACTCGTGTGCTACAAAATAGGTTTGATGATTTACAAGTCTGATTGCAGAGGAAAAATGTTAGTTGTCAAAAATGTGTTTATTCTTCTAAATTGTATGTAGCTTCATATCTCCCATACTAGTGTTGAGTTGTTACTGTGGTTTAACTGTTGTAAATCATAAGATGGTAAACAATACAGAGCTGTGTAATCACAGTCCTACACTCCATTTACTTTAGATACAAACTAGTGTGGCTTCGGGGCAGTAACCAGCTAAAATAAACAAAACATCACTGAGCCAGTTAAACCTACTATGCAATCCTACAGCTGACTCCTTATCAAAGTGAAAGTGACAAAAAGAGAAAACAAAGAAAAAGTCTACACATTCTCTTAGGGCAGCAGATCAGCAAGTCCCATGAAAGAAAGAAAAAAAATTGCACCACAGCAGTTGTAAATCCGAGTTAAGTTTTGTGACGATAATAACTTCAATAATAAAACCTGCATGCACTTTTTTTTGCATATTTATTATTTTTTTAGATACCTTTCTGAACTACAGAAATAACTGTTATGTTTTGATTTGATTTTTCACCTTCTACCATAACAAAATCATTATTGATTATGTATTAATATATATATTTATTTATTTCATGACACAATATATAAACATTTTGTATTAAATTTAAATGTTAATTACTTAGCGTTATTACATTTGGGTAACTGTTAATATTAGAGATATTTTTATCCAGAGTCCAGTTTGCAGGTGCTGGATCTTCATTCTCAGTTTTTATTGTGTAGCCTGTGTAGGTGTTTGGTTCTTCAAGATCACCACTTTTACACTCTTCAGGGGTTTCCAACTCTAGGCCTCCAGGGCCGGTGTCCTGCAGGTTTTAGATCTCACCCTGGGTCAACACACTTGAATCAAATGATTAGTCCATTCCCAGGCCTCTGGAGAACTGCAAGACATGTTGAGGAGGTCATTTAGCCATTTAAATCAGCTGTGATGGATCAAGGATACATCTAAAACCTGCAGGACACCGGCCCTCAAGGCCTGGAGTTCGACTCCTGTGCCTTAGGGGTTCCTCTTGTTTTCATGGAGCCTGCAGTGCAGCAGTAATGTGGGCATGTTGGCACACAGGAACAATTGCAAATATAAAATGTAACCTACAGCCTACTTTATGTGAAGAACTGTAGACTTTAACCAGTTTATTGAATAATCTGAAACTTTTGAGAAAGAGTTTATTAATGGAATGACCCCAGAGAGAATGGTTTGTGAAAATTGAAGAAAAAGTAACAAATCATCCACATAAAAACAGATTTTATGTTCTACACTCTTGCATCATATGCACTTAATAATTATAGCCTGTCTAATTGCTGCTAGTGGTTTGATAAAAATTGCAAACAGTGAAGAGGAGAGTGGGCATCCCTGCCTGGTGCCTCTCTAGAGACAAGAATTGGAGGATGTTTGGTCATTCAGCCTGTTTCCAAAACCAGATTTGTGTAGAGTTACAAATAAAAACTTAAGAGTTGGGAGTTCGCCTTGTAATCGGAAGGTTGCCGGTTCGAGCCCCGGCTTGCACAGTCTCGGTCGTTGTGGCCTTGGGCAAGACACTTCCCCCGTTGCCTACTGGTGGTGGTCAGAGGGCCCGGTGGCGCCAGTGTCCGGCAGCCTCGCCTCTGTCAGTGCGCCCCAGGGTGGCTGTGGCTACAATGTAGCTTGCCATCACCAGTGTGTGAATGTGTGTGTGAATGGGTGGATGACTGGATATGTAAAGCGCTTTGCGGTCCTTAGGGACTAGTAAAGCGCTATATAAATACAGGCCATTTACCATCTTTCATCAGACACTCAGCCTTGCAGACCCACCACAAGTGCTTCAATTTTCTGCTTGATATTCAAGATTTCACCCCAGTTTTGTGTTATACGCACATCAATCCCAGTCTGTGGTGACAAGCCGTGTGGTGGTGTGTGTGGTGGGCCCAGGTGCCAACACAGGTGAGGAGACAGGAGTGAATTTAAACTGAAAGTGAGCCTTTATTATGGCTGATGACATAGAGGTTAAACAAGGCAGAAGCACAGTGACTAAACTAAACTATAACTAAACCGGGAAACTGATACTGCGATAACCTATGAAGACTAAGAATGCAAAGACTGGCCGTGAAAACATAGAGGGTAGGAACACAGACGATGCGACACAGACTGAATGAAACACAGGGACTAAATACACATAAGGGATGATCAAGGGAAGTGGAAACACATGAGGGGGAACAGCTGATACACATGAACCTAATGACATACACTGACATTAGACACAGACTTTCAAAGTAAAACAGGAAACATAGGGATTAAACGGACGTGACCTGAACTGAACATAATCACGCAGACATGACGCATGACAGGTAGACGCACGAACCAGGGAGACTGAGTACAGGAGGAGATGACATAAACAACTAAGAAACAAAGGGCTAAACAGCACCCTAGAAATTAACTAGACGAACTAAGCTAGAGCATAAATGAATACAAAAGATACATAAAACTCAACACTGGGTCGCACGACCCAGGACCATGACACTATTAAAATCCACACAATAAAATCTTAGCTTAGTAACTTTAATTTTGTCTTGAGTCCCCTTTCTATTTCTATGCATCTAAATCTAACTTGTGATCTTTTCTTTCACTGAAACTTAATTAAGTGTCCACACATAAACCAAATCCACTTTGCTGCATTCAGATTCTGACATGGCTCAGACATGGAGTTTACCTCAGTGAGGCTGTTCTGTGCTCAAGAAAAATTTTGTTGTTGAGCCCAGGAAACAGTCACTGCTTCAGTCTCTCTTCCTCTGTCTCCATCGTCACTGTATCCAAACAGACGGAAAAAGAGCCATTAGGCTGAGCGCACACATCTGCCTCGCTGCCACACCTCCACACCACCCTGAGAGCTCACTGTGCCACCCCTACCCTACAGCAGGCCAAAGACCACCACACACCTGCCACAACCTCATTGACTAAATTCAATCCAGATCTTCATCACTGTAACAATGAACTTCACTTCATCTCTCAAGACTGCCTTCTTTCCCAAACAAAGTAAAACTAAGCAGGCAGACAGTCCTCATTTTATTTGACGATAACTCTGTCTTGACCCTTTACAAGTCGTTGTCCTTTACCTCAAGCTTTCTCCTGAAGTTGTCCTGAAATATGCCAAGTCTCCATCACCACAGTGTGAAGGCAGACGCACAAAACAGTTAAACATTTTAAAACAGTGAAATCATTCATAATTTTGGAGCATCTTGTTTCATCCGGATCAATGCTCATTTTATTGTTTTAATATGACCAAAAATTTGCCCAGAAAGTCACCGGGAAACTGTGACTGCTGCCATGATGGTGAATTGCTCCCTGCTTGTCAATAAAAAGAATGCAGGTGTGAGGCCTCACTTATCAGAGCTGGAAGCTGCATCTGCATCAGGTCTGCGCTGAAGAATCATTAATGACTTCAGACTGTAGTTCGCAACTGCCTCACCTTCACTACTTCTGTATGTATGTAAACTAGAGCATTAGGCAGCAATTCACTTTAAATAATGCATTAATTCTGACCTCTCTAG